ATGACCGCTCCGCCATGGAGGTGAACTACAGTGACATTGAACTTCTTGTTCCACTCCTCCCACAATCCATGCTGTGCTCTTCATTCCTCCTTATCTCCTTCCATGCTGCATTCTCATCTGTGACCTGTCACCTTGGTGCTCTCACTTGACTAGCATATTTATTTTGTTTCTATCAGATTCCCTCATCCTGTAGCTGTGGGGGCCATTGCTTCAAACCCTATTAATCTGTTTAATAGTTAGAAGGCCCAAAGTCACTTCCAGAACAGCGAGGCCTCTTCTACTCTTACTGACACTGAATTCCACTTTCTTGGACAGTGGACTTAGGTTACTGCTAAGCTTTTGTGATTAAAATCCAACCAATAGGAATAAATAAAGGTGGTGCCTCACTATGAAAGCAAGAATAAAAGAGCAAACAAAGGAATATATTTCAGTTCTTGCTCAAAAGCAAACTTGGACACAATTCATTCTTTCAAATAGGACATATTTGGGCAAAGGGCAAGTTTATTCAGAGAGAGTCTCCTCCTTTAACCTTGGCCAAGAAACCTTTGCACTGCACAGGTCAGTGAGTGCTAGAGCCTTATTTATCATAAAATTGTTTTCCAAAGACCAAAAACACTTTGAATGACAGATGAAAACCTACAAGTCTTTTTTATCAACATTCTGCCATTTGTTTTACCCATAACTGTTTTCCCATGGAGATATTTCCCTTGCTTAAGATGTGGTGTTGTCGGAATATGATGTAGTTTAGACTCCTTCACAAAACAATGAGCAGAAATGGGGTCCTGAGCAATTTTAATCTCTGTTTATACCATAAAAACTATCCTTACCACTATCTATTATGTGCGAAAGAAGCAGTTACAGGCCATAAAAAGAAAAAATACATCATGTATTAAAAAAGTGCTTCTTTACTTCCATGTTATTTCAAGGAAGAAGATATACAAACAACTGAATTAAGACCAGAACATTAAGAAGACTTAAACCCTACAGACAATTGCAAATCTGGAACTGGCAGCTAATCTGTGGCGTTCTGCAGAACGAGTAAGTAAGTCATCAGCATACAAGCAAACCATGTATTTGTAATCACTCACTCTGCTTAGGGTGATATTAAAAGTTCAGGTGTCCCCAGATCCCACACTGAGTCAAGTAGCAAAAATGGAAAAAAATCTTCTCCCTGTAAAGCTCCTTGTTCAAAGGCTCTTTCTGGCATGAGGTCACTGAGGTTTTGCTCTTTAATACCTTAACCCAGGGGTTCTCAAACTTTTCCAGAGCATGGACCACCGCTTGGCAGAAAGATTGCTTTGTGGGCATATTTTACTCCAGAAGTGGCTGCAATTCAGTGATAGACTGTGCATATATACCACGGTGATAAATTTGTAAAGCAATTTGGGAAAGTTTGTATGTTGCCAAGGTCACCTGGACTGAGAATAAGTAATGACAAAATGTTGAGAAGAGGCCTAATGGGATGACTGTAGTTGTGCAAAGGGGCCTTAAAGTCAGTGAGTACACATGTTCTCACTTTATGGCCATTTTACATTGCAAGGGAAAAATAAAGTATAAATGAGAATCTGCCCCTCTGCTTTAACTTTATGTGAGGAAACATGAGTTTGTGTCAATTTGCAAATCTGCAGTAAAACTTACACAGTAACCGTTCTGTTTATTGTTGATAAACTTTAATGGGATTTAATTAAGAATATTTACATGACAGGGAAAGACCATATGGTCCTGTTTATTATGAGCTAATTTGATTTTCCCAAGAATAATTAAAATCAGCTGATGTAACCACCATCTTAACAACTGCAGAAATCTGAGCTTTGCTACCTTCCAATTCACTTATCCCAAACTTCCTCTTGAGCGTAATTACACTAGTGGTTTTCCTGTAGCATAGTGACTTCAGCAAAGCAATCTTCCAAATTGACTTGCCAGGTGCTTAAGTAGGAACTTGTTTTCTTACAGAAATAAAGATTTTTTTAACTACTTTAAAGGCAATGGGATTTTTTTTACCTGTTTCTATAAACCTGGAGAGTGATTGCTGTTCCATCTCATTCTTGAATTTGATTTTCATCAGTGAGAAAAGCTAGGATATATTTCTGGCAGCAGGGCTACACTCAAGTGTTTGAAAAAAATGTTGCTGTGGATGTCTGATGAGACTTAGCCAATTCAAGCTTGTATTTAAATGCCCTGAAAAGCAAAGAGATTTTTTTTTAATGCTCAAAATTTGGAGAATCTGAAAGGTGCTATGAAGCTATTTTAGATCATTATATAGCTGCCAGTATCTGAGTGCCTACTAGTCTTTAATGGACTTATCCATTGGGAAGTGCTATTATCCTCATTTGAACAAGATCTGAGACACAGGGAGATTAAGTGACTTACCTAAGGTAACACAGCAGCTCTGTGGTGGAGTGAGGAATTAAACCTGGGTTTCCCACCCTAACCCCGGGGCCATCTTCCTCCGTAGTTGAAAATGGCCACTATTAATTCCAAAGGTCCATAGTGCATGGATAATGCACCCCAAATAATCGTGGGTGTTTGGCGAGATTGGGTGGCTTGTAATGGGCCTTTTGCAGGTTTTTTCCTCTAGCCTGCACGTGAAATCAGACTATGGCATGTAGTAATGGAAAGTCATGAGCATTTGCTGGCTCTTCGATGGCCTATGTACGTAAAGTGCATTGAGGGGATCTCCGGGTATGACCTAGTGGACAAGTTTCCATGCTGCAAAGCTAATTTTTGTTCCCAAGCTTTTGAAGCCTGTGGAGGATCACTGGAGTGGGGTGAGCATTTCATTACATTGCCTGGCGTATTGGACAGAGGGCACCTAGAGCACCCTCGAGAAATTAAATAAAGTACCAAAACCACAACTCGACGGGCACCCGCATTGGTGATGCCAGCAGCGAGACGAGGCGACTGAGGCTGGACTCCCCTATTTCAATCCCTGAGGCGGGAGGGGTGGGGGTCACTCCAGCCAGAGCTGTCTGAGGGAAGACTGCATGGCTTATACTGCACCTGTACATTGACTATTAATGCATTATGATCTAGCACCAACAGTGAGTACTGACAGCTTTTTAGGTACATTGTAGACAAGTGATTCTAGCCTTCAGGTCTGTCAATCTGGCATCCTTCACTAGTTGTTGGTAATGCAGCCTGTGATGGGTTGGCTGTCCTGGGTGGAGACCCCCATCTCTCCCCCACCTAACTGGGGTTTTTTAAGCTGCTTTACACTG